ATCTTTGTACAGTACTTAGTAAACTGGAGCCCTGACTTGACTAAAGCCTGTAGATACTACTGCAATATAATTGCTAAATAAATAATAATTAATTAATAATAGCACTGTAATTAGAGCTATTGGCAGAAAGTGGGGATCTAATACAATGTGAATTTCACATTTTATCGTTTGTTTTGCCATTTGCAAAGGCCAAATACAGTATATGATTAATAATGTAACCGAATATAACATTTTTCAAAACTAATAATAATTCTTTTTTCATATTTTATTCCTTACTAAATGTGGCTTGATTTATCTTGATTTGAACAGAACTTTGCTACATATTTTTCAATAAGTGCTGGTCAACGACTGTACAGAAGTGATTGAAACAAATTACTGCCACAGTGGAAAGGTGCTAATCTTAAAAATTGACATCAGTCTTATCTGCAATATAGATGAATAAACAAGTAGAAATAAATCAGTGGTGGGAGTAAAGCATTTGTGCAATATTTGCTTTGCAAACATTTTTGCCCTTGACTTGAGTAAGTTTATTATACTGAATTTCCTATGTCTGTCAAGTAAGAATTCACTGCAATAAGTACATACTTATAAACTCAAAATCTTTCCTAACTAATATTTTGAAGCTGATATTAAGGGTCATTCTGCAAAAAATTAATAAAGTTAATGATAAAACAAATGTTAATTGCTTATGACGGCGTAAGAATGACTTGTAGCCAATATAGTCAGCCTTTAAGAGCTGATGAGCCATTGTAGCAGCAAGTGAAATTGGAGAGAGAGCCATAAAATAATCACTCATCACGCAACATTCTGGGTTTGTGTTGTGATATTGTTTTATGACTTTGGGCCAAAACCCTCAGCTGGTCTGAACTGGTGTATCTCCATTGGCTTCCAGTTTACACCAGCTGAAGCTTTGGACCTATGTGTGGTGATAATACAGTGTAATCACATATTGACACAACATTACAAGGAAAACATCACAAAGCAGTTCTATGACATGACATTGATTACGTTGAAACTCTTTCTGATTCCGCTACCTGGAATTTTTCTCTCTTTCCCTCTTTTCCCCTCCTGAATGCTAGGAAGGAGACTGGAGGTACTTTTTCTCTCCTCTCTTTCTCCTTACCTCCTGGATTCATGGAGTGAAAGAAAAATTCTAGCAACAAATCTTTTTGCATATCACAGTAATGGGAAAGTGGTTCTGACAGCTTACATACTACCATTCCAACTGCCCTGCTCTCCCTGTGAAAATACACCCGAGATCAGTGTTCTACTTAGTCTACCAGAAACACAGAAACACAGGCATAGCCAGTAGGACTGTTGAATCAAAAGCTGCATTGTGGCCCTGAAGATATACACTCTGAGGAAGAGTCATAGGTTGAGTATCACTGACTTAACATAGGACGCTGGTATGTTGCTTAATGCTGTGAAAAGTCTCATGGACTTCAATGAGACTCTTCAATGTAGAACGGACTTTGCCTAGTAGTGAATGTTCACAAGACTGGGGTCTAGTGTTGGATGACTAAAGAAGAATTTGACTCACATATCAAATAGGGGAGAAGAAATACGTGGAGGAGTGTACATAGTTTACCTATTACAATCTATGATGTCTTCCTGGAAGACTTGAAGAGCTCGAAAGCTTGTCTCGCTCACCAAGAGAAGTTGATCCAATAAAAGATATTACCTCACGCACCTTGTCTCTCTAAGGGACTGACATGGCTACAACAAACCTGCATATCTTCCTGCAAGCATAATTCTTAATATTAGTTTTGTTTGATTGATTGATTTTAAATAGAAACAGATCAGTTTGCAGAGGAACTAGTTATTAAAATTATATCACTTAAGGACCAACGCTACAGAGCAAAGCAAACATTGTCTTTAGGAAGATTTTTCAGGATTTGGTCCATATTGTGTATTTTGAAATTAAATAGACTTATGTACTGCAGCAGCATTAACTGAAGCAGGTGACGCAGCAGTGGCAAAGAGAACTGCAACATGTTTTTAATACAAAATACTATAATCTGAAGTACACGTGATTATTTTTTTGGGCTGCTATAATTTATGTACCATTGGATTTCATCACTTTTCCTGACCATATGTATGTGATAAATCTAATGCAAGTACACCCTATGCAAGATATTAGCCCCTTCTTTATGCCTTCCTTTTGGAGTAATGTACAAAACACTACTTTAGGAAACACTATATATGAGAGATGACTGCTTCTGCATAAACAATAGGGAAACGATAAACTGATTTTTGGGAAATGGTATATATGCCATGATTTAAAAAATAATTCTAAGAGAATTTGCGTGGCAGAGTATCTCTAACTACATAGGTTGGAGAACTAGATTGGGGAAACTTTATGAATTTTAAGGCTCAGTTTGAGAATTTATATCTTCCACACTTAGCTTTGGAAATGAGAACTGAAGTGGTAAAAAATCAGTAATTTTCTGTCAAGCCTATAACACCAACTTTAACTTTGACTTTTATGAAAAACTGCAGTATTTTACAGTAAAGTTCAAATGACTTCATTACATTATTGTAAGCTGTGGGGATGTGGACTATTACTGTAGGTACTACTATCACTGATTTGGGGAGGTTGCTGACCTGTAAATGGGGAGAAAGGTTTGAAAGGAGGGAATCAATGTCTTGCCATTGGGGAGGAGGAAATAAGAGTGCTTAACAGCTGGGAGGGTGTAACTGGTTTGTTATTACAATAGAGGAAGTATTAGGAGTCAAGAGAAGAGTTGGACACTAGTGTGTGTGTGTGTTGGGGGGGAGGCAGGAAGCGATATTCATCTTGGCAGATTCACATTTTATTGGTATGCACATGACATAACACTGGACAACCAGCGTTTCTTTATTCCCTATCCTGGAGTCACACCCTCTTCACCTGGGAAGTGTTGTTTTTCTCTATTATTTCAGAGATTTGGTCCTGGAATTGGATTTCTCTCTTTTACTATTTTATATCTCTAGAAATGTGAAAATTTTTGGAGACCCAGTCATTGAAAGAGCTTAAGGAAACAGATTTACTGTGCAAGTATTTTCTAATTTTCAGAAGTACAGAACTTTCTTAGTTATGAACTAAACTTTTAACATATCAAATGTACTATTTTAACTGAGGACTGGTCTAAAGTCTTGAAACCAAATGAGTGGGGACACTAGAAGATAATCAGATAAGTTGCTAAATGTGTGTTTTTGGCCTAGTTGTGGAAGCTTACTCACACAAGTAGTCCCATTATATGGGACCACTTCAGTAAATACTCACCAACATGATCCACAACCAGAAAAATATTTCAGTTTTCTGGGAGTGGATTCTAAGCTGTGGGAGTTTCTGAGTTGTGGAGAGGCTGAGTGTGGAGGTAGGGCAAGGAATTCTCTTTATGGATAGTGCTTGGAGCCTGAGGGTGTTTCTATGCAAAAGGCAGATGAGGAGGTTAAAAGAATATTTATTTTGAGTCAATGGCAGAGGGCAAAGGCAAACCAAAGTAGGATCAAAAATGTTTTTCTCGAGTGTTTACTAGGCTCACTTAATGTTGGATGGAAAATCTGCTTGGTTTCTGATAAATAATACTTTCGGCTACCGTTGGCAGCAAAACTGTTTTGATAATTGTTACAAAGGAGGGATATACCACAACAAAAAAGATAAAAGATGTTTAAAATTGTCTTTTCTTTAGAGGTAATGGGATAAACTTTCAAAGCTGTGCATGGTTTCTACACAATAAATCCCCTTAATAAATAACACAATTTTCTTCTGCAACTCTTGAAATACTGAAATAAAAGTGTAGTCTATTGTGCAATGTGTTATAAAAGTTTAAAAGTAAAGGAAACATCAGACAGTCTCCCTTAAGTCTGAAAATGCATATAGTAGCAATAATACCAAATATATATTACCACTAGGATTGTAAAGAGTATATCTTATTCTTTAGCCTTACGTTTTATTACAGTTGCAACAAAGTAGATTGTAGAAAAATATTGTATAAGATAACTCCTTACACTACTAAAAGACAAAACAAAAACACCAAGTCCTCCTTTATATAACTCTAGTTAGCTAAAGTAGAAAAATGATCTATGACCAGCTCCTCAGTGGTTGTAAATTGGAATGAGTTCAGCAGAACAATGCTGATTTATATCATCTAAAGAACTGGCCCCTAATGTTTTTTGATCCTGTAAACTTGGTGAAGGTTCACTGCTCTATTTTGGCATTTGACATGTGAGAAATGAAAAAATGCTATGAAACCAACTCTGGTGTGTTCCTTTAGTCATTCAACAACAACAAAATCCTTCCATATAATCAGTACTCTGCAAAGCCAAGCATACTTCTCATCACTGCCAAAGAGTGACTATAAAAACTTATTTTTAAATTAATCTGCAATCCTCTAGATGAACTTTAACACATTCAAAAGTTCTATTGCAATTAGCACCCAAAAGTCTGACAGCTTGAATGAATTTAATCCTAAATTCTGCTCTAAATTACATCTGTGCAACCCATGGACTTAACTGGACATCTAAAATGAAGGCAAAATTCCACACTTTTAGTTGGCAAACCTGGACTATACATCTCTTAAAAATAGGCTTTGCTGCAGTATTTCAGCACTTTTGTTTCCTCAGAAGGAAACACTGGATGCAAAAATGAAAGAAATGGACCTGATTCTCCTTGTCTTACACTGGCATAAAACAAGAGTAACCCTATTAAAGTTAATGGAGTCTCACTGGCATGAAATCAGTATAAGTGAAAGAAGAATCAGGCCCATTGTTTTTAAAAAGTTAACAGCATTTTCTCAAGTTTCAGTAAATGTTTAAAGTTCAGGGCAAAAATTTTGGGGAGAGCTTATTTTGTGAGAACTAGTTTGTTTTACCTACACAATGTCACATTTTCTGAGGGCTAAAAAGACAGTTCTAAAAGCTCCAGTGGAATTAAGAGAACGGAAAAGTCCAATTGTACTTCACACTGGTGAAAATACAAGGGTATGGTTATAGTAACTTGGACACAATATACTCACCAGCTTGCCCAAGGGTATATTCCTGATGTCTTGTTCCTATTCTGTTAGTAGCTGTGCAATTATATCGCCCAAAATCATTGTCAGATGTGGGAGCAATCTTGAAAATAAGCATAAACAAAATTTTAAATATTATTTTCTAATGATTAATTACAAAAAATATCATTGACCTTCTCAAAATTTAAATTCATTCTGCTTAAACAGTATTAGGATGTCCCCTTATTTTACCTTGCCAAATACATTGCACAAAATGGTGACATAAATGTGGTGGATCTGTGACAAATTCCCTCTTTTTCAAAGCTTGTATGAAAAAATATTCATGAAACAACAGAAGGATAAGTTGAAATATTTCAAATCCAGAGTTTCAACACTGAATGGAAAACATCCTCTAGGGAAGTTAAAGACAACATGACCCCTCCTTCTGTCCATAATAGGTAAATGAGGCCACTTTGTCCTAGGAAAGAGGAAGGGACCAGGCTACGAGCCCTCTAGAAATATTTAACCTAACATTAGGGGTAGGTGGTGACTGAAAGAGGTAGGTGAGCTGTCTTCCAGGATATCTGGGTCCTTACAAATGGACACTGCAAGATTCAGGGTATGCATAGCTTTATCTGTGATCACTGGAAAGTAGCGTGGCTGTGAAATATTGGTAGGGGAAAGGTGTTAAATGTATTTCCTCAAATGTATTTGAGTAATACTACTTTAATTTAAAACAGTGTTTCTCAAATGCGGCCACCAGGGGCTTTCCTTGCGGCCACACCCTCCTGGGCTGTGATGAAGGTGTGGGGGGAGGGCAAAGCAGCTGCCCCTCTCCCTCCCTGTTGCTCCTGGATGGACCACATTGGTATTGGTTGCTATGGAGACACCTGGGGCACAATGCGGGAGGACCAGGCAGCCAGTGAATCCCCCAACTTCCTGGGGGATGTGGGGGGGGGGGGGGTGAGGCTTGGGCTTTGGGTTCAGCCCTGGGGTAGTGAGGCAGCAGCCTTTTCACAACAGACTTCTTGTCTAGCACTAAATCAGTTACAATGATTTGGACATGTATTTGTTTTTCCTGCAGCTAATTAAGTATTTTAGGAAAAAGTGTGAGAGCGGTCACCAGCAAGAGTTGGTGGCTGCACTATGAGGCCACCAAATAATTTGTCCTGAGAACCCCTGATTTAAAACACTAGATACTTAGAACTTGTCCATATGGAGAGTTAGTGCATGACAAGCTGGGGTATAAATCTGCAGCATACTAGCAGTCACATAATAAATTGCAGTGTGGACATAGCGACTGTGCATTAAAAGTTCCACAGAGCACTTTGACCTGCCGTTGTTTGAAACATCAATGGGTCAAAGAGCACTATGGAACTTTTAGTGTGTGGTAGCAGTGTTCAAATGGCCAGCTAGCATGTGGCATGCTAGAGCACTGTAGATGTACACCACAGCTTGCTATACACTAACTCTCCATATAGACATGCCCTTAGTGGTCATTCTTTTAACAGAAGTTGTGACATTACAATTTCTATGAATATTGAGGTTTATGATCTCAATCTCCGATGTATAATGTAGGGGCCCAATCCTGACCTCCTCTTTTAAGCAAAACTCCCCTTGGTGTTAATGGGATTTTTGCCTGAATGAAGAACTCAGATTCAGAATTCAGGCAAATTTATAGTCACCATTATGTAAACCATTGCATATTTTCCTGATTACTAACTTATTTTTGCAGTACACCATTGGTTTCAACACTTCACTCCCCTAACAAAATATATATATATATATAAATATATAGCACCAGTAATGTCTATAACAAGTAGAAACAGATTTGCTAAACCCAAGATATCATATTCAGAACATTTCTCATTACCTTTACAAGGACTTTTCAATCATTCATTGTCATTATTGATACATTGGAAAGGGAAGAAAGATCCAATAGGGAGAATAAGCAGGTACATAAATGAGAAGGATAGTCAGGAGGGATTTCTTTCCTGGCATTATTTTTTAAGTTGTGCAGCTCTTATTTGTTTAAAATAGATATTCTAAGACACCGCAGTGATGCATTTTTCAGTCACCCACTCGCAGTGACGCTTGAGTTCTCACAGCTCAAGAGCCTTAAAAAAAGAGTCAGCAGATTCATGCTTTAAAATCACACTTCAACTGTGAACCTCCTTTTCATGTGACATAACTACAAACTGAATTTAAAAGAAGACAGTATAAAGATAGTGACATCGAATTGCTAGCTAGCCAGTAGTGTTTGTTTGTGTCAAATTCACAGTGACTTTGAACCCATTTCTCTTATAGTCTCTTAAAATCTTGTTTGCATGATAGTAAGCAGATACTATCCTGCTCCCTATGAAATCAATGACAGGGTTTTCGCTGACCTCAAAGGAAAAATGATAAGGCCCACTGACAACTTAGAAGCACATGTGTCAACAGTAAGCACTGCACTGTATTTTATAGACTACACTGATTTGCTGAAATTACACAGAAAATTTTCCCATAATCTTTTCAGCACTAAATTATCACAGAATTAGGAACAAAGCAACTCATTGGGATTAGATTTAATGTAAAGATATATTAGCAATCAGATATAAAATACATTTATTTTACTCACACAAATGGAAGATCTAAAATATTATGTCTTGGGTAATTTTATATACGTAATACTGAGAAATTATCCCCCCCCCCGTAGTGATAATATTCTTTTTCACTTTTAGAGCACTTTTCATTCAACAACACCAAAGCACTTTATATACATTAATTAATTTACCTTCACAACACTCTTCTGAGGAAGACTCTTTCTGACTGTTCAGGGGCTGCCCTACTGTAACTCTGAGCCAAATGTATGTTAAAACTTTCTGTTTTCTACTGTCTTTATAACTTCAGCAGAATAACTAGATCAGATACTTATTTGAAATACACCTCTACCCCAATAGAACGCTGTCCTCGGGAGCCAAAAAATCTTACCGCGTTATAGGTGAAACCGCGTTATATCGAACTTGCTTTGATCCGCCGGAGTGCACACACCCCCTCTTCCCCCCCCCGGAGCACTGCTTTACTGCGTTATATCCAAATTCATGTTATATCGGATCACGCTATATCGGGGTAGAGTACATAGGGTAGGGTAATGTACATGTTAGCAATGTTACTTCATTCCTTTCATTATACGTATTTTGATGTATTTTGTTATACTGCATCAGGATGTCAGTATATGATCTTTATTTCCATATTTACTAACTTCACTGGGGTCCATTTCCCTGATAAAACAGAACTGGAAATTGACTTAGGGAAAGGCATCCCCTAAAAAAGGCGGGAAACAGGACTCGGACTCCTAGTGTCTGGTACAGTGAGGATAGAATCCCCTCTTCTCCAGCTCCTCAATCCTCATATGAGGAGGAGGTGCTGGAGCCCAAGCAATGGGCTAGGGACCAGCTGTTGAGCGGGGAGGGGCTGACATCAGCCCTGCCCCAGGTGAAAATGATTAAGGAAGGAATCATGACCTGCACAGTATGAGTTATTGCAAGATAGTTCCCGATGAGTTAAGTTAATAAAGTTGTTGGGGCCTAATTAAATCCCATCCTTGGCATCTTGTTTTTCCTCATGTGCGCCAGTCAACATAGCTTGTTCCTGACTTATTGGGACTGACTCTAAGAGATAAGAAAAGACATTAGTCTCTATACAAAAGCCTTGTTATGGAGACTGCCAACAAGAAAGCCAATTAGTTTTGTACTGCATATACATGTCTGCTTTGAGCTGGACTGAAATGGCCAAATTCTTTTTGTGCAGGCACTAAATCATTGATAATATCAATCTACTGAATCAGTTTTAATATTTTTTAAATGTTCATGTTTTATTTACTACTTTGCAAACAACTCAGATTATATTAATGTTCACTGAGAGTGGTGAACTGAAGGCAAGACAATTGATTGGAACCAAGGACTTCTTTCTAGCTGATCACAAGGAATATGGAGATAAATAGCTCATAAGATTTTTTCTTCATTACATCACAGATCTGATCTGTAAGTGTTTTATACAACTCCAGTAATAACTCCTGACCAGTGAAGAAATTAAATGATTCCCAACTGATAAATGTAATTTGCTAATTTACATTTAAAGCCTTACCTCTAATATCAGCTTTCTTCCTGCACTGTAAGTCTTTAAATGGGTAGTATTTTTTGCAGGTAAAACTAATTTTCCTCTTCTCCAGTGAACTGAAGCTATAGGATTAGATAGTACTTCACAACTTATATTGATAGGATTGCCTTCCCAAGAATAATACAAGGTTTGATTTGACACAAATGTTGGAGCATCTGCAAAAAAAAGAGAGTATTAAACAAATACGTTATCTGCCTCTGTTTCCATAAAATATGCAACACATTTTTATTCAAGTACTGTATATACTACTAAGGTTATCATGGAAATTTGAATTTACAAATGTGTCACTTCATAATATGGACTGCTACAATGTCAGTTCTCATCTATGAGTTTCTCATGTAGTCATCTTGGATAGTTCTTTGAAACCATCTCATCAATATGCAGTGGCAATCAAAAAAGCTAACAGAATTTTAGAAACCATTAGTAAAGGAATAGATGATAAGACAGAAAGTATCGTAATGCCATTATATAAATCCATTGTACACCGAGACCTTGAATACTGTTGAATACTGTGTGCAGTTGTCCAGCTATACCGAAAAAAGGACAGGATACACTTGATATGGATTTAATCAGGCTGCAACTTTATTATTAGATGTCTGGGACTACCTGGCAGATAAGTGTACATTGTACAGTGCACGTAAACCCTGTTTGTTTTGTAACTACCTGGGCAGGGAGCTTCTACCAGCTCCCCGTCTTTTTCCATCAAGGTCCCTCAAGAAAATCCATTTTCGGGACCTTACCATCCACCCCCTTTCCCCACCCCATAGGAGGGGTAAGATGGGCGATAAGAAAGGGCGTTTGGCTCCATGCCGTTCCAACCATTGGAGCCCAACCCCCCCAATGTTCTGTTCATTTAAGTCCTTTACCAAGCCATTTATCTGGTCGCTGGATGCCTTCCCAATGGAGTACCTGCACTGGACATCTGCCCCACACTTACCAAATAAGTTGCGACATATAGCCTACCACACCTTTTGTGCTCATCATAATAGGTCTTCCCTAACACCTGCTGTGAGGAAGGTGAAAAAAACCACTCCACCGAAGCCAATATGGTGGTGAGGGAAAAAATTCCTTCCCAGCCCCCTTAAAAAGGAGGGAATAGCACAATGCCCACAGCAGGTTCAATCCCACCTGATAATCACACCTTAAGGGGAGGGAGGGTGGGTGTTGCCTTGCCTGCTGCATGGAGAACGGGGTTTCCAACGCCAGAGCTTGCACCTTTAAAGACTTCCACCCTTACATTCCAAGGGAGTGAGTCACTGCTGCAAAGCTGACCAACACCACCTTTTTGCAGCAGTTTCTCATCTTATTCTCCCTACCTGCCCCCCATTCACCATAAAGCACTACTGTCTTCCTCCAACAAGCCTGGGCAACGGCCCCCCTGCTTTCAGTGCAGGGCAGTCATTCTTGTTGTCCCATCTATATAGCTATATCAAATCTATATCTATCTATCTATCTATATATGAACTGGAAAGTTTGAAGAGAACGGAAAAAAATCAGAGGGATAGAGCAGCTTCCGTATAAGGAGAGATTAAAAGGACTGGGACAATTCATCTTAGAAAAGAGACAACTAAGAAGGGATGTCATAGATGTCTATAAAATAATGACTGGTGTGGTGAAAGTGAATAAGGAAGCCTTATTTACCCATTCCCACAACATAAGAATCAGGGATAACCCAATGAAATTAATAGGCAGCGGAGTTAAAATAAACATAAGGAAGCAGTTCTTCATACAGTGCACAGTCAACCTGTGGAACTCATTGCTAGGGGATGTTGTGAAGGCCAAAAGTATTAGTGGCTTCAAAAATGAATTAGGTAAGTTCTTGGAGGATAGGTCCAATGGCTATTAGTGAAGATGCATCCCCATGCTCTAGGTGTCCCTGAACCACTGACTGCCAGAAGCTGGGACTGGACGACAGGCGATAGATCACTGGATAAATTGCCTTGTTCTGTTCATTCCCTCTGAAGTATCTGGTACTGGCCACTGTCGGAACACAGGATACTAGGCTTGATGGACCTTTGGTCCTCACCCAATATGACCATTCTTATGTTCATGTTGGATTCTGGATCTCTTATTTTGGAAGAATTCTCATCTGGTAATACTGTATTAGATGATGCCCTAGTTTAGGGATCGGCAACCTTTGGCACGCGGCCCATCAGGGTAAGCACCCTGGTGCGCCGGGCCGGTTTGTTTACCTGCCGCATCTGCAGGTTTGGCCAATCATGGCTCCCACTGGCTGCGGTTCGCCGCTCCAGGCCAATGGGGGCAGCGGGAAGCGGCACGGGCCGAGGGATGTGCTGGCCAATTTTGGGGTCTTTTTCTTATATAGGCTCCTATTGCCCCCCACCCCATCCCGATTTTTCACATTTGCTGTCTGGTCACCCTACCCTTAGGAGGGGCCAGAATGATGGCTACTGGTGAAGATGAGGAAGGTGATGGTGATGAGGAAGATAATGGCTAACATTTCAGGTTGTTCTGCAAGGGATGGTGTGAGTGTGGATGTTCAGATCTACTTTCTGTATTATCTCTATCTAGCTTACTGAGTTAGAATGTGTGTGACTTTGATAAATGTATTAATAAAATATGTATTTGTAAATATAAAAGAGTTCCTATAGTGTGAGTGTTGCACTGTGCACATCAGGGTTCCCAACTATATAATAATTTTTAATAATACTGGGCCTGATCTTGGGACAAAAAGCTGGCAACCCTCAAAGTGATAACTGGGATTTTTTACTCATAATCTATAGATCAGGCTAAAGCCTCTATAACTAATTGAATGAGAGAAGATGGTCTTGTGTTTACAACTGAACTGAGACCTATGAGCACTGGGTTCAGTCAAAGACTCTGTCAAAGACTTCATACGTGACCTTCAGCAAGTCACTTACTCTCTCAGTTCCTGGTGTGTAAAATTGTACATTTAATATTCCTGTCCCCCATCCTTTTTCTGTTTAGATTCAGATTTCTATTTAGATTGTAAGATCTTTGGAGCAGGAATAGCCTTTTCCTATGTATATGTACAGCACCTAGCACAACAGGGCTCCAATCTTGACTGAGGTCTCTAGACATGACGTTTAGTAATCCAATAAATAATATTTGAAGATCCAATAATACACTGTCACCCTGAAAAAGCAGAGATGGTATATCCACGTATCTTCAGCATGTGTGCTTGAAGTCTCCTCCACAAGAGTATAGCTTGACTAAATGTGGGTAAAATTACCTGAAATCAACACTAAAATGTATTACACTATTAGAAAATGGTGGATCAGGAGGGAAAACCGTAAGTCTGTGAAAAGACTAAAACAATCAGTTTATATTTACATCAGAAAATTAAGAGGAGTGTTAGGAGTTTTGAGACCAGAACAAAGCATGAATACGGAAACGAATGCTGAAGTCTAGCCTCAGGAATGGTTTAACTATGTGTTTTCTTTGAAATGCAAATCTGCAAATTCCTTCCATATTTGCCTTTGTGAAAGAGCATCATCTTTTGGTATAATTCTGTTACTGTTACAGGTGTATATACTGGCCTTGACTGATATCACTGGGAGTTCTGAACGCAGTAGATCAAGGATGATATATATTACTGGGAGTAAGCAAAGATTTTCAGAAGTATTCAGTTTTTTCCTCTTCCAAAAGGCAGCAGTTGGCTCTAATTTAATAAGGAGTGAAAGAGATGTGTTCTCATGGCCATATTTGAGTTTTGTAGTATAAGCAAGAGCTCATCTTACTCTTTCAAAGGTTATAATACTGAGTAATTTAATCACACCTAGGTTGATGCAATACTTAAATACTTAAGTCAGAGCTATGGTACTTATATGTAACATCTAAAGGGCAGATTTTGGCCTGAAAATACTTTTATATGAAGGATGGAATAGCAGAGAAGCTGTAGAATTTGATATTTCATATTAACAGAGATTGTGAACAGGAAAGCTTGCCATAGCATCTCCCTGCATTATGATTAGATATGTTCAGCACTCTTAGCACTAAACCTGAGTGCAATGGCGACTCCTGGGATGATGGGCTGATTAGAGAGAATGGTCGGGAGGGTAACTGAAAAACTGGCACTTCCCCAGCAGGCAATTTTCGCATGCCTCTAAATATATGTAAGCGTGACATTGCATACTAGAGCCAAGAAAGTATGTGTGCATGTCTGACCACAGTAACATGTGCCACAAAATGCAGCAATTCCATCATGCATTTTAGATATGCAATTTCTATTACATAGCACATAATTTCTCAAAATTACTTGATATTCCTGAACTAGTGGACATTAGCGTGGATGCAGAAGGTGGCAAGTTGTTCCATCTGGTCAGCAGTAACTTTTCCCCCTCAAGATCTGATTTTTGATAATGATATAATCCAGGCTGGTGTTGTGTGCTGTTTCTAACTCACTTTTGATCAAATCGCATCCCCTGTATGGGAAGTCTTATAAGGCAAATGAGGAGGTTGTGAATTTCTGTAGGTACACACATCTTGGAGAACAGAAGACTACCAGGGGAGACATCTATCAACCTCTAGAAGCAAAGGCAAATCCAGGTTTCTGAGACCTACATTATTTATTCAATTATGTTTTTAAAAATGGACTGAATCTTATGTTCAAGGCACATACACTCATTCTTAAGCTGTTATGGGAATAGAGTGCCATATAGAATAGCAGAAACAAATCACAAATAGGACCAAATGTCCTCAAACAAAGTTGCTTCTCAAATCAACAGCTCAAAAACACTTGGCACTTCTAAACAAAAAAAGGTGTCTCAGTTTTCCCAACCTCCCAGAAGCCCTGGAAAAAGGGATGAGCCTCGCAGCATGAATTGCAGGTCAACAGATCTGGGCTTTAGCAAAGTGATGTGGGAATCCAATTCCAAAGTCCATGGCCCTTCATGGTAAATTACCTGCTTTAAGACCCTTTCCGAGCCCCTTCACTCTTACCAACAGGGAGGAATTTGTTGCAAATCTGAACTCATGGAGGATGGGTGAGGGTCCAGATGACTGAAGAAGGGCAAGCATAGTACCTATCTTTAAAACTGGGAACAAAGAGGACCTAGGGAATTCTAGACCAGTGAACTTAACTTCACTGGAAAGATACTGGAACAAATAATTAAACAATCAATTTGTAAGCACCTAGAGGATAACAGGATTATAAAGAATAGCCAGCATGGAT